GCCATCGAGGCAGGAGCCAACGAGACGGTGAACGTGAATGTGAGGAAGGATGAACCGGGGAATCCAACTGGCGGTGGCCATGTGGGCCATGACTGCCTTCTCGCTCCTTCTCGTCGCGCTGCGCCTCTACACGCGCATCCGCATCGTCAGGTTCGTCGGCATCGAGGACCACCTGTTCGCCTGGACCGGCATATTCCTCCTCGTCTTTACCGCCACCATCCAGGTCGCTGTCCACTATGGCCTCGGTCGCAGCTTCTGGACTCTGGCCGTTGACGACTCGTCCAACGCCATTTTCTGGACCTATGTCGCCAACACTTTTGCCATCACGGGCAACGCCATGGCCAAGCTATCCATGGGCTTCTTTCTGCTACGCGTCGTCCAGATCAGGTGGCAGAAGCGGCTGTTGTGGCTGCTCATTGTTGTTACTGCTGGCACCTCCATTGCGCTTGTCATTATGCTGTGGAACCAGACGACGCCAGTTAGGGCTAGCTGGGATCCCCTCAGAACACCGGGCCAGTGGAACATACAGATCCAGCCTATGAGTGTCGGACTTGGAGGTATGTCGACGGAAATTAGTGTTCTTGGACAAGCACTTGAAAGCATGCTGACATATGCACTCGCCCTCAGCCTGGTCCAGCGCCTGTGACTTCTTCTTTGCCATCTTCCCGTGGGTTGTCATCTGGCATTTGCGAATGTCTCGTCGGGAAAAGGTCATGCTGGCCGGTGGCATGAGCCTGGGGGTCATGTAAGCTACCCGTACCCAGCCATCAACCTCCACCGAGAGGATGAACTCTAACACAAACATAGCGCTGGAGCATGCGGCATCACCCGGACAGTGGTGCTCTCGCAAATAGACGTTATGGATTACACTCGTAAGCTTACTTCTCGCTTTCAATTGACTTTGGCCGGGAAAGCTAACAGACCGCAGTAAACTTTGCCCCCTACTTTATCTGGGCAGGCGCCGAGATCGCAGTCGCCATGGTTTGCCTTGGAATCCCCACTCTCCGACCTCTTTACCTTCGCAGGCGTGGCACGAGCATCGGATATGCAGATCGGGTTCACACGCGACTCGACGCCTGTAACGACGACGACCAACAGTTGCCACAATTCTCGGAAAAGAAGCCCATCGATCTACCCCAAAACATACAACAAACACCACCTAACTTCAGCCCCCAAGTATATAACTTAAACCCCATTGACCATAAGATACATGAGTTACGCGACCCAACTCCACAAGAAACACCAAACTACCTTCGCGACTCGGCTTCATCACACACAATGGTCGAATCATCTCCTAGCCCAGAATTCCATCCAACAACAACCATGTGCCGACCGCCAAGTGCCCACGTGAAGAGGGGCCGCAGCGACAGTGTGGATGCTATACTGGGCCTTTATGACGAGAGAAGCCACAGCAAAGGCCGTGCTATTACTGCAGATAAGAACTATAATTATGATTATGCCACTGCTAACACTGCGGTGGGGGCTCCAGATGGGATCTGGGTCAAGAATGAGATTTGGATCAAGAGGATCACAGCTGCTGACTGGCCGTTGAGGGGCTGAGAACGAAAGACACGTGTGGGGGACAGGATCTATGGATGTGATGGGAGGAGGATATACCCGACTGAGCAAGTAAGTGAGTCATGCCACGTGAGGATTATGCGATTTTAGGGGTGGAGGAGGCTGGTTCTTTCTCTGGACATATTAGATTCGTGGTTTCTGCGAGACATCTTGACGCAAGTCAGCCTACTAGTAATGATTGATGCATTGAGAGTTTACTTTGAATAGGAAGTATTATATTTTACAAGAACATACTGGTGATATCTGCCCGCAGCTTCATTGAGTATTTAGCTGTCCTGCTGGTACGTATGATTAAGTAATACAAATTATAGCAACGAAGCTGATAGGTCAATAGTGGCACAGCAATACGGATAGACCAACGAGACATGTCGGAACAGGGAGGTCGGAGCAGGAGGGGTCAGACTGACCAACTCCAATCAGGTCCGAGACGCAGAATCTGTTGCCATGCGGCTCATCAACGCACAAACGCTACAATTCGACGAATTTTTTGAACCTAGTATTCCTGGCTATGTAATCTTGTCGCATACATGGGACGATGGCGAGGTCACCTTCCAAGACATGGCGACGACGACCCGCCCGATACCGAAAAAAGGATACCGAAAAGTCATCGAGACTTGCTTTCTGGCGCGCCAAATGGGCATCGGCTATGTCTGGGTAGACACATGTTGCATCGACAAGACGAGCAGCGCCGAACTCACTGAGAGCATCAATTCCATGTTTAGATGGTACAAGAATGCCCTAGTATGCGTCGCTCATCTCGCCGACCTGGAAGCCTCGGTCGAGCTCAAGGACGGCATTGCCAAGTGCAGGTGGTCCACGCGCGGTTGGACACTTCAGGAGTTGATCGCACCGCAGATTATCATCTTCTACGACAAGAACTGGTGTGAGCGCGGCTCCAAAGATGATTTCTGCGAGGAGCTTTCGGCGGCCACGCAGGTCCCCGAGAGTGTTCTCCTCGACCCGGATCTCATCTCCAAATATTCGATAGCGCAACGCATGTCCTGGGCCTCTGAGCGGGCCACGACTCGAACCGAGGACATGGCGTATTGCCTATTTGGAATATTTGAGGTCAATATGCCCCTGATATACGGCGAGGGCGGCACCCGGGCCTTTCAGCGGCTGCAGAAGGAGATTATCAAATACAGCAACGACACGACCATCTTCGCCTGGAATCCCACTGCCGCCGAGCTATCACATGAGCACTGCCTCATTTTCGCATCTTGTCCAAAGGCATTCACTGGCAGCCATTCCATAATTCCGCGCAGCATGCAGGACTACAACCCCGAGTTCAGCATCACCAACAAGGGACTGCGCATCCAGGATCGCCTCCGAGTCAGTCAGATGAATAGTCTCAATGACTCACTCTCCGAGTACAGCTGGACCGTCGGCATAAACCTCTTTGGGGGTTCACTGGCTGTGGTCCATCTCAGGAAGCTCGGTCCGGATCTGTTCATTCGCCAGACCCGCCTGCTGAGCAGTGTCGGCCACATGACTGACAGTCACCTCGGTTTGTCCAGAGATAATACATTCTGGAGGCATGATGACCCAGGACAACAAAAGTCTATCTACATCATGGATTCTTCCATCCCCCCGAGCAGCGTCTTCGCAGGCTTTCGCGAGTTTGGCATCCGCTGCGCCGACTTTTCTAGGGTCTGGGGCACGAACCCTACGTATTTCACTCGGGCCATACCACACGACCTTTGGGACCATAGCGATTTTATCTTTCTGCCCAACAAGGACTGGCTTGTTCGCGGTATCCGCTTCAACCAGAATATCGGAGAACACATGTATAGGCTCGCCATCGTGCTCCGACCAAGCTCCCTGCCCGGCCTTGACCAGCAGCAGCAGCAGCAGCGCTATTCACTGTCTATTTGGGATACAGAGAACCACCCGGCCGAAACAGCCCGCATATTCCCCCCCAATCTTTCCAAAACCACGCCCAATGAAGATCTGACTGTCTCCGATCTCGTTGAGGACTGCCCTGTCGTGTGGAAGCTCGGAAATGTACTTGAGATTCAGGTCGATGGCGGGGAGACATATAGAGTGACTGTCTCGTGCGAGCCGGAGGAGGTAACCATGTTCTCTCAAATAATCACCATGTTCAGCCTCAGGATTGTCATCAGCAAGATGCCCTCTGATAATAACTCAGAATCGTTAGCTATATAGGTAAGGTACCTAACAGCATCAGTTGGTCTCTTGATAGGCCGGGGGCTCACACTCTGGCACCGCAGACTGCTCATCGCCACCTCCGTACAGTTTCATCAGCCCCTTGGCCATGAGATTCCCAAGCTTGACTCTCTCCTTCTCCTCGTCCGACAGCGCCATCTTGGCCGCGTCTTGCTTGCTTGCTGGTGCGATCCTGACGGCCGGGAAGTTGAATTGTCCAATCCACATCACTAGCTGATGACACCTTGGGATCCATTTCGGCAGTGTTAAAGAGTTCGGGAATTTTACGGGCGATGCAAAGAACGCGGTCAGGACTAAGACAAGAAAGAAGCCAGTGTGTCAGTGAAATGGCCGCCGCACGCTTATGGTGGGGGGGAAGTGGAAGTGACCCGGTAGTAGAAGTAGCACTCACTATCCATAACGATTGGGGCCCCACGAGACCAAGTCCCTGACATCAACATTCTCGACCCACTGGCGGTCGTCAGCGTAAATGTTGACGGTGACAAGCCAGCGGCCGGCAAGGGCGGCCGGCAACCCCCCCGACATCGAGCTCCGAGAAGACAATTCGGCGGTACCAGGTCCTATGGCTCTTGCAGCAGTCGCAACACTCGCCACGACACGCCGCCTCCTCCGCCCTGCAGCTGTCGATGCGTCCACGTCCAGCTGCTCGCCAGCATCTTCCAGCTCACAGGTAAACCTGATCCACCAAGGCACCTTTCCCTGCTTCAGCTTCGAGTCCCAACTATGAGGAAAAATGTTGTTGACGAAACCCCAATCAAGTGGCTGCACCTTCGGTACAGGAAGTGTTTTGCAGGGCGTCCTCAGTAAACCGAACGACAGAAACCGCAACACTTGGTGTCTTTGTCGAGCCTTGTAATTTGACCATTTGACTTCCAAAGCCAGTTTTCTGTTATAATCATCTAAAAGAAGTATTTGCTTGCTGCGATTCGACCCCAGGCCTAGGCGGTCGGGGTGGGGGGGGATAAGGATGTATCCCATGGCGATAATTGTATCTGATGTAGGAGTTGTACGTCGAGTGACGACGAGATTAGAGCGTGTTGAACCATCTTTTAGCTAGGCTGCTTTACTTTCGTATATCACAAGCTACTATTCGCACATAACATGCCACTATTCGCACATCACATGCTACTGGACTAAGGATTTGCTAGCGACCGAATGTCATTATGGAAACAAAGAAAAATCCAGCATATCATTCATAGCAATATTTGGTATGGGATGCAAAACTATTGATGTAGTGCCCACTACCAGAATTGAACTGGCGACCTTCTCATTACTAGTGAGACGCTCTACCACTGAGCCAAGCGGGCTATTGTGTTGAATGAAATATGGGCCTCAAACCATGGCTTAAGGATAGACCCTCTACCGCTTCAATCCCATTGTGTTAGTGTTTCTCACTAGTTCAGTGGGGGCATCTGAGAAATCACTGGCCAAACGCAAATAGTCCACCATCAATGTCGATTCTGATTCGTCTTCTTGTCCAAGTATTTGCAAAACAAGTCGCTGTATTTATTGAAGTTTGGCATGGTTGTGTCCCGTGGATTGATCGTAGACCAGTGGGAAGAGACCACAATGCAGATAGGTCAGGACGTGCCGAAAGACGTCAGGGTCGAGGTCGATGAAGATGGGTTGGTCCTGGCTGCCATCCAGAAGGCCGGGGAAGGCGGTTTTGAAGTAGTCGTTTCTTTTGAGGAGAGTGTCGGCAATCGAGACTGACTGCAGCGGGTATGGAAGCGCTGAAGGCCTCCATTCCCGCGGTGCTGACCCACTGTTGGAACCCGATTTAGGTGTGACCAACTCTCGCTGTTCAACCACAGCCACTGAAACCGGCGCCAATGACACTGAAATCAGCCCGGACTATGGCGGGGCCGGGGTCACCTAGGCCACTGGGCCAGACAACCTAGGTCAGCAAACACAGCTCAGGAAAGCACAGCCCGAATCCGCCTAGGCCTTCCATTCAATGACCCATGGCCCCAAACTTGGACAGCAATGAAAAAGACCAAGAAACAATGGAAGGGATGCACCAGTTATTTGGACTTGGGTCGACACGCAAAAGTAACACTGTTCTTTCCCTTTCGTTCTTTTCCTTTCGTTCTTTTCCTTCACCTTGCTCAAACCTCGAACTTTGTCGCCCTGATCTCCCAAGCAAAATTCAACGCCATCAATCCAGCCAAGACCAAAGCCATCTTCATTCTACAACACCACCCATTGGTCCGATTTTCTGCCCCAAGGCGGCCTCACCAACGGCAATCTTCAAAACCTCTCATCATGCCCTTGGGATATTTCGAGCGAAGGCGCTTAGACAAAGACATTAAGAAGTTGGAAAAAGAAATCGAATCGGTGCAGCAACGGTGGATGGAGCTTACAACAGCCAGTGGTTCCGTGCAGCCATCACGCCAAGAGCAACAAGAATCCCAGCGGCTGGATCAGTATTACGCAGAAGAGGTGGAGAGACTCTTTCTAAGGATGCAAGAACTACAAGAGACACGACGCAACTGAGTATGCTCATATCTCATCTGCTTGTATGTACGTGTCCGATCATGCGCTGATGCTATGAAACAGGGGTTTGATTCACAGATCGCGGCCAGTTGAGGCCTTGAGACTAGCTATGGAGCATCAGCGTTGCATTTCTGCACTTTAGACGGAGGAAATTGGGACTGGAAGCAATTCATTCCTAGCACACACACCCTAACCCTGCATGTCCTCACTCCTCAGCGGCCTCCCCTTCTTAGTTCAGTTCGGTTCCCTCCGAATGGGGCCAACGTCCTTCACCGAGATATTGCACCGAGATATGATTGGTTGTACTACGCTCCATATGTGTGCAACACATGTGAGATGCAACATGTGAGATGGAATTTCTTTGCTCCCCGACAGACCTATCGCTCACCCTGACACCACATCATCATGGACCTGTTTGGTTTCAAGTTTCACAATACGAGATATTGCAATTTCTAACCTTTGGACTAGAGAAGTCATGGGCGGCCAAGGCACAGAGTCTCTTGTCAGTGCTGCCACCACAAGGTTGACGTTGAACCCCGCATCGAATTCTTATTCAACCTCTCGACATTGCCCAGCATGTCTCGATCTCGACTATTCACTATATACCAGCTTCGAATCGCCTGACAGAAACTCCTCCGGTGCGTCACGGTATCGCTACAGGCTGGTCGAGTACAACCAAGTGCTGAGGGCAGCAGACTCGGGCTGTCCCTCGTGTCGCATCATCCAACGCGCCATCAGCTTCTTCTGGGCAAATCAAGACCTCTCAGACTACGATGGGTTCCAGCCATCACCCGAAAATGGGAGGATGTTTAGACGGAAGCTGTGTCTTGCGCAGCAGCCTGGAAGCAGCCTGACCTTGTTCAGGGCAGTGGTCTACCAAGACACCCCCGACACATCCTTCATCCACGCCTTGACGGTGCGCGACGCCGTTGCTCGGATAGAGTTTTACCGTGAAAAGGGGCATGACACACCGTCAAGGCCCTTGCCATACCCAGCCATTGGCACAGCGGCACATGTCCCTTCTGCGATAACCCTTGAGCATGCCGCTCGACTCGCCTCGGACTGGATGTCGCGGTGTGATGCATCTCATCCAAAATGCATCTCCCATTCGTCGAAACTGCCACGGCGTGTGCTCGACGTCTTGGACGGCGTCCGCTTGGTGGACACGCTCGTTGACCAAGTGCAAGTGACGGACACCAAGCCATACATGACGCTCAGCCACTGCTGGGGGAGCAAAAGGTCGGCTGACTTGTTGCTCAAGACCACCACCCGCACACTCTTTGAGCGTCGCCAGCAGGTCCCATGGGCCTTGGTCCCAGCTCTGTTCCAAGACGCCATCCGCCTCGTGCGCGCCCTCAGCTGCCGCTACCTGTGGATCGACTCTCTCTGTATCATACAAGATGACCAGAAAGACTGGATGGTCGAGTCGGCCAGCATGTCTGACATTTACAATAACGCCGCCCTCAATATTGCCGCTACGGCAATGCGCAACAGCACCTATGGCTTGTTCAAGTCTCGTATCCATGGTCAGGGGTTCCGCGACCTGCAGCCATCACGGGCCTCGGCCAGCTCCACTGGTGGCCAGAATGCCATCAGGACCTTTCCCCAGTCCCAGGATACCATCATTGTTGACACCACCATGTCAGACCAGCCAATATTCGCCCGCATCTCCCACGACCGAAGCCACGAAGTCTTGTATGGCGACATGGGCTTCCTTCGCACCTTCACCGAGCCCCTTTTCAACCGTGCCTGGGTCTTTCAGGAACGTCTGCTTTCCCGGCGAACCCTGCACTTTGGCGCATCCGAGCTGCTCTGGGAATGCCGGACCACGTGCTTCTGCGAGTGCACCCGCATCAGCGACGCGCACGCCCTGAGCATAAGAAGCATCAACGCGAAGGCGGCGAATCATACGGGGCCTCAGGATCAAGAAAACAACCGCAATATCCACAGACTCCTTCAGCCCAAAAAGACGCTCTTCTCCAACGTCCTGACCACCGGTACTGGTCCTGGCGATCTACTCTCCCCGTGGCAGTCTCCGTCGCAACAGGTGAATGCCCTGCTCGACTTTTGGCTCCGCATCGTCGAGGAGTACTCCTTTCTGATCCTGACCAAGGAGACAGACAGGTCATATGCCCTCGCCGGCATAGCCAAGCGCATCAACTCCTCCCTCCTCATTGACCTTCACAACAACAAGTGCGAAGAGGAAGAAGACAAGGGGCATCAACAGCAGACATATCTCGCCGGTCTGTGGGCCCAGGACCTGCCGCGCGCCCTCATATGGGCACCATATCGCAACAAGACGGTCGAGCGGTCCAAGAACGGCGCCCCGAGCTGGTCGTGGATGTCGAGGAGCTGCTTTCCGTTTGGGAATGGGGATGCTGGTGCTGGTGCTGGTGCTGGTGCTGGTGCTGGTGCTGGTGCTGGTGCTGGTGCTGGTGCTGGTGCTGGTGCTGGTGCTGGTGCTGGTGCTGGTGCTGGTGCTGGTGCTGATACTGGCAGCTTGAGCACAGGCACAGGCACAGGCGGCGGCTCGAATGCTTCGACTTGTGCAGTTCGCTACAAGCACGTCACCCGCAACGAGTTCTCTGCCGACGCAAGACTCAAGATTTCATCCAACCCCGCCGACACATTCTGCTTGCCCCAGCTCGGCAACGACATGTTTGGCCGGCCGGACGGCGGGCAGATCAGCCTGCAGGCCGCGAGCTGCTGGGCGTGGGTAGAGATAGCCATGGAAAGTACCAGTACCAGGACTTGCTCTGATCTCAGTAAGGGCGCAAAAAGGGGAGCCCGCAAGAAGCGCAAGTGGGACGGCAAGAAGGCGTTGCAGCTTGTGTTGGATCCGGGGTCTAAGGGGGTGGATTCAAGATCGTTGCAGCAGCCACCAAGGACAAGAGGAGGGAGAGGGAGAGAAAGGGATGACGGTGATGCCTGCATTCCCTTTGAACCTGACTGTCCGGGGCGGGACCCCAAGACGGTAGCGCTTTCGGAGAGGGTCTTGTGCGTGCTGTTTGGGAGGAGGAAGCTTGTAGAGGCTGAGGGAGAGGTGGCTGCGCCACACTACCTTTTGGCGCTGGCGCCGGTGGAGGGGAGAGATGGAGTATATACCAGGGTGGGCTTTTGTGAGACGGAAGGGAGGGTCGAGTTGTTTGAGACCAGTGCTGAGGTGAGGAGTGTGAGGATTGTGTGATGTTGACGATGTTGCTATACGCCGCTGTAGTGGGATGAACAGCAATGGAATAACTGGCAATGGGATAACTAGCAATGGAATAATTGGCAATGGGATAACCAGCAAGGGCACAAAAGCTGCCAGCATTCATTTCTTTTTATCTGCACTATCTATGATATAACCGCCCAAGATGTATCCTAAAGACTGGACGGCAACTTGCCCGCCTTCTGGGCCGTGTACGTGGCAATGGCATCCATCAAGGGCGGCGACAGGGCGTCATATGTCTCCAGCCCGACCTTCTTGAACTTGGCGCGCACCTCGTCGATACCCGTGGGGTTGAAGCCCTGCTCGATGATGGACGACACAAAGGCGGCGAACTGGGGCTCCTGCCAGCCCTTCTCGTCCGAGAGCTCGACGTGGACGAAGTCGAGGCCCTTGAAGGCGTGCTCCTTCTCGATGCGGCCAAACAGGTGGACGCCGCACTCGTTGCAGGCGTTGCGCTGGATGGCGGCGCTCGAGTCGACAATGTAGAGCTTATCGGCGTTGGCCGTCACCGACAGCTGGTCCCGCGGGATCACGGCCACGATGGAGAAGAGGGCGCCCTCGGGCTTCCAGCACTTGGAGCACCCGCACGCGTGGTTGTGC